AAAAAAAATACTATAAAAAGAGATTGAATAATAATTAGAATATATATTAAATAACAGAATAATGAAAGGAATTTCTAATTAAAGTTCAAACAGGGTAATATTTCTATTGTATAAATAGATAAATTAATCATACCCCTATTAAGAGTTATATCCTATAGTTTATTGATTCAATATAGACTAGTAGTACAATCTAGAAAAAGTATTCTTTAATACATCGTATTAAATGAACTCAAAACCACAGTCTGCCTTTATTAGGAAGATATTAATTCGACAAGAAAGAACATCAGAGAATGTAGAAACATGGCATTATCCTGAAGATATTAGTAAAAAAGTTGAAGAAGAAATTGAAATAAATCCATCAAAAAAGGTATTGAATTTAATTGATATTGCTACTCAAATGAAAAAATTTCCTTTTCAAGGAAAAACAAAAAAATATTTTGTAGGATATTGTATTATTGTTATGAAGATATTATATCGTTGTTGTGTTTGTTTTTTCTTTATATTTTATTTTCTCATTTCTTTCTTCATATAAAAAAACAAAAATATTAATAATTAGAAAATGAAAGAAAAAATAAATAATACAATTGTATTTAAACAATCAATTAGTCAAATGCTTGGAATTGATTATAATCAAGCTATAAAAACATTTATAGAAATTAGAAACTTAATTTATTCAGAACAAAATTTGGGTAAATGTAATAGAAAAAAAGGAAAATCACGTAAGTCTGATTATAAATCTTTAATTGAAAAACAAATTAGAATTCCAAATCCTACTTCAAAAAAACCTGTTAAAAATATTAATACAGAAAAATCCCTTCCTGTAATGATTGATCATTTAGATAGAGCAATTCAATGTGAACGATTTTCTTATGGACCAAGAAGGGAACGAGCAATGTCTCTTCAATCAATGATTGATGAAATTCAATGTTAAATATATTACATCAATAAAATATTATTCATTATTAATCATTTTAAAATTTCTTTACAACAATGAAATTAAATTATTTTTCTTCTTCTTCTTTCTGTTTTTATCTTTTTAATTTTTCTTCAAGTTTTATTAAAGGTGACACTGGTGAAAAGAAAGATTGATCTTCTGTTGATTCATGTAAAAAGATAACAGAAGTTGGCTTTAAGAATTGAATCTTTTTCTAACAAAAATAAGTTTTTGTTTGTTGTTTTTTAAACTTAGAATATTTTTTAAAAGATGTATAATAATGATTGAAATACAAATTATTCATATTTTTGTTCTTCTCTCAAACATAGAAATAACTAAAAACAAACTTCTTTTTTTGGTGTATGAATATCACAAAAGAAAATTTTAGGAATTGCAAATAAAGGTGGATCATGACATTGTAAGTGAAATGCACGACTACATCCTGGATGTGCACATTTAACATGAACACCTTTTTGTTCACAATACTCACAAACATCTCGAGAATATTTAGTTGGTTTCTTAGGTGGTTCATAATCAGTATATTTACTAATATAACGAGGAACTTCAAATTGAATTGGATTAACAGTAGTTAAATGTTTATGAACAAGATAAAAAGGATCATTTTCTGGAATATCTAATTTTGTTATTCCTAAACGATAAGAACATACTCTACAAAACCATTCTTTTTCTGGTATTTTATCAGACGCAATAGGAGGACAAGCACATTGAAGATGAAATGAACAATCACATCCATCACAATATAAAATGATTCCATTATTTTTAGTACAACAATCACAAAAATCATGATTTTGGATTTTATGATGTTTAACTCTTAGTTGTCGTTCATCACCACTATTTTCAGACATCAAGACTCTTATTCTTCTAAAATGAGTTCTTTTTTAATTTATCAAAAAGTAGATTTTATACAGATTATAAACCCTGCATTAATTTATTTTAATTCTCACTAAAAAATCTGAAATTATTATTAATATATTATGTCTAATCCTCAAAACGAAACTTATTTTAATCATTTCTATCTTCGTTATTAGTTTGTTTAATTCATATTACTTTATATTTTCTTACTTATTCTTAGTAATGGGAATCATAATCAATATGGAAAAGAATATATAAAATTTGAAATTTTTGATAATGGTGAGCTTAAATATTGTAATCAATCTCGTTATCGAAATGAGACTGAGATTATTAAAAAATTACATTTAACACGAGTTGTAATGAAAGAAATTCAAGATATCATCTCTCAATCTCACATTTTAATGTTTGTTTTCTTTCTTGTGTAATTTATTTTCTCTCATTAGTAGACAAACTGATGCTCATTGGCCAAATAATATTAATGGAAGTCGTCAAGAACTTGAAATTGAAATGAATGATAATCATATATTCTTTGTTACATCCAAATTTGGTACATTAAATGAAATAAGACAATCAAAAGATCCTCAAGGACTTCTTATATTTTATAACTTTATTAATGATCTTATTTGTTTATTAACAACATTAACTAAATCTCATTCCAATATTCATTCATACTAATTATTCTGGTTTTATTTGAAGACTTAGTATAAAATTTTCGAAACAAATAAGTTATTGTGACTTTTTAAAAAGAAAGGTTTTGATACAAAAAATAACATCTTGTGATTTATGTGACTTAAAAAGGAATGACTTCAACATTTAGAAATTCTGTAAACTGTTAAACCAAGACAACAACAAGAATTAAGACAGCATAGAACATAGTAACACAAAGAAGTGCTATCATTGACCAATATGCCCATCTCTTTTCAATTAAATCTCCTGAATTTCTATATTTGACAATATTATAAATCCAAATACATGGAAGGAAGAACCCTAATACAAATAATATGAATGCTGGATTTTGTAAGCTTTTATCAACTGGTTCTTGAGGTTGTTGAACTTGATAAAATGAATGTTCATCATTATGTAATGGTGCTAAGAAAATTTGAGGTTGTGTTTCAATATGTTCTTGTTGAACTTGTTGTTGAATATTAGTAGCATTTTTTGGACTTTCCTGAATAGAGTCATCTTCATTTTTTAATGGAACATATTTGTCAGTCATTATGTTATAATAGAAAGAGATACTCTTTTTTTTTTTCAATATATGAGATGAGTCTATTTTGGTTTATATTTTATGAATGTACATTTATTTAGTTAGTTAAATAATCTTATAAAACAAGTTCAATCTAAAGTGATTTTGTAGTGACTTTATCGCTATCCTACTTTAAAAAGAATTTATTTGTTAATCTCTCTAATTTAAGCAAACAATATTTTCTGTCATAAAAATATTAACAAACAATAATCAATTAATGCTTTAAAGAAAGTAATAAAACCATTAACTTTTTCTATAATGCTATTTCTATTACTGCACCATTTTCTTCTTCTTCTTTTATTCCAACTCCTTCTTTTTCATTAGGTTTTACATTTATTTCTTGGAGTGGAACTTCAATAGTTTGGATAGTGTTTGGATCATCAATTACTCCAGTTAGTGAATGAATACCTAATGGAATTCCATTCATATTCATTTCTATAAGTTTTGGATTTATAGGAACCTGACTATTACCTCCAATGTCAGAAACATTTATTTGGTCATTTAAATTGATTTGTTCTGCTTGTCTAATACTAGGGATTTGATTTTGAGAAATTTGTGTTTCAGAACCAATTCCTAGTCCACTTTCAACTATTGGTATCAAATGTGGTGACTCTGTGTCTATTTCATTTAAATTTAAATTATTAGGATTATTTCTATTATTTGCTTCTTGAATTCTTTCATAAATTTCTCTTGCTTCTTGTTTTTTCATATATCGACAAATTGATGAAGGTGATACTTTTAATTGTTTTGATGCTTCTCTTGTACTTTTCCCTCTGATTTTAACTTCTTCAATAATTTCTCGTATTAATTCTACAGAATGTTTTGCAGGAGGTCCTCGTTTTTTCTTTGTTGTAATATCATCCCCTCGTTTAATTGAGTTAATCAATCGACGACAATAATCTTCTTTAATACCTGTTTCTAATGCATATTTAACCATTTTCCAATTTGCTCCATGTTTACGAAATAAATCTCTTAACTTTGTTTTTTGTTCTTTGGTATAAATATGATTAATACGTTTCTCCGTTTTTCTTGGTTTTTTCATCATTGAAGAATCTATTGATGTAGTAACTATTGGACTATTTAAGTCTGAAACTAAGAGTGTGCCATCTATGATTCTTGATGTATTAATTTGATTATTTATTCCTACCTTTGGAAGTTCTTCATATATTCCATCTTTATTTGTATTTAAGATATTTGTTGTCACAATTTGAGCAGTGGTTGGTTGATTAGTATTTGTTAATACATTAGAAGGATATTTTGTTTCATGTGTATGTTGTGTTTCTAACTCTTCGTTAAACTCTTTTAATTGCAAATGTCCATTCATTTCGTGTGTTTCATAATTCTTGTTTACTGAAATAATTTGAGGAACAACACCATTTACTAAAGGTTCATTTATCAGATTTTCAGATTGTTGGGTTAATTCTTGAAACAGTACTGTGCCAGCTTCATTCCGACTTACTTCTGAATGGGATTTTTCATTATTCATTGTTCTCAATAATCTTGATCAGATCTTAAAATTGTTTCAATTTTTTATCGTTTCTAATTAAGTTAGTTTCTTATTTTTATCTAATCTCATATTTCTTCAACCCTTTTAAGTTCTTTTTTGTTATTCATTATTTTCTTTTAATTGTATAAATAAATATGTTATAGAAAACGATATTTTTATAGTCATAATAATGAATCAATAATACATTTAGTTATTACCAATTTATTTGATACTTTAAGATTGCTGATGTCAAGGTGTTAAGATTCTTTAGGGAATAATACACTTCCAATTAAGGGTTCAGCCAGAATATGATTTCCAAATTACGGACAAAGTCTTTACGATGTTCGTGCCGATGAATCGAACATTTTTTCTAATAGAAAACTAAGAATCTCAGTAAGTCATGAAAAGAAAATCAGGTTTAAACAAAGACAACGAATTATATCAATGTGACTTTTGTTTATTTACTTGTCAAACAACAACTCAAATGGAATGTCACATGAGATTAAACCATTCATTTATTTGTTCATGTTGTCATCGTAACTTCTCTAATGAAAAGTATCTTGACATTCATTTATGTGAGGTTCATGACTCTTTCTTTAAGGTTAGTTCATTGGTTCATCCATCATACCAATGTTATGTACTTGATTGTCATTTCTTGTCTCTTACAAATGAAGAAAGAACGAATCATATGAAGTTAGTACATCACTGGAACAATATCACAGTTGAATCAATGTTTAATATGATTCATTCAGTAGTTTCTCTTTATTAATATAATTTAAATGATAAATAAATTAGTGGTATTTCTAACTTACTTATTGTCATTCATTTTAGTTATTTATTCATGTTGGTTTTAAATATTTATCATTGTACTGTTACCAATGAACTTCATTTAATTTAAATATCATTCATGTTATAAACAACTTATTTGTTATCACAGTTAATTTATATTTAAATAATTATTCGTCAATTGTCTTATTGGTTTATTATTTATTTCAATTAGTAAATATCAAATGAACATCAACACATTTATTAATTGATTTAACAATGATAAATATAAACAAATTAAATAATAAATAATTATAAATTAAATACAATAAAACAGATTTATCATAGTGTTATTAGAAATACATTATTTTATTATTAATCATAAAACAAATGAATAACTGAATTGAATTATATTGAATTTTTCATTTAGAATAAAAACAATAAACAATGTTAAACAATTAAATTACATATTGAATAACATCATCAAAAAATTTATTCTTGTTTTGATGATTTCTATTTGCTTTTGTTTATCAACAGCTCCAAATTGATACATTAAATAATATGAAATAATTGGATTATTCAAATATTCATAATACATTTCATTTCCTTTATGAACAATTTCATTACATAATGCAATATCAAATGCATATCCCCATTCAGTTCCAATTAATGGATATTTATATATTTCTTCAATTGAAAAATTTCCTTCTTTGATTCTTGTTATTATTCTTTTTACTTTATCAACAAATATTGCTTTAATGATTACTTCATGTTTTCGGTATGTTGATACAATTTGATTAATTATATTTCTTTGAATAACTCCAATATCTATTTCTCCAAACTCTTCTATTTCTCTCCATTCTTCAACATTTCTTCCATACATAATTAAGTTATGAATAATTAAGTTACTCAGTCTATTAACAGTTTCTGAATTTGCCATTGGTTGTATTGTTTTAACTAAGATGCTAATTCTTAATAAAATGTCTTTGTATTTTTCAAAATTATAATACTCTTGTTTTATTTCTCTCTCACTTATATCTTTTCTTTGTTCATCGCTTCCTTCTTTAGTAATGTCATTGTCTATTGTTGACATTGGTTTTGTTGAATTTCATTGGGTTTATGCCATTCTGTTTCTTTGATTTTTTTAGTTTGTTCATTCTCTTTGTTTATTTCATCATTTTGTATATTCTTTTGTATATTCTCTTCATTGTCTCCAATGCTTATGTTCTGATATACTTTTTCATATGTTGGTTGTTGACTCATATTATTGTCTGTTTTTGAATTAATAAGTTAAATTTAAATTTACAGTTAATTTTTTATTTTTCGTTTTTCATTTTGTTCATTCTCTTAATAAATCACATTGATTCATTACCATTTAATGTTATTTCTTTTAATTTCTTTCTGTAGATAAAAAACAATTAATCAGATTGATTTATTAATGAAAATGAAGTAAATGTCAAATTGAGTCAAAAATAATAAATATTACATTATTGTTCATTTTTT